TTTTAAATATGAAAACATCAATTATTTTAAATGGTGGAGTGAACAATAATTTAAAGCATGTGAAAGGGAACCCTTTCCGCGGCATGCACGTCTTTTCAAAGTTCTATCCACTCTCAAGTGTTATTTAACTTAACATGCATGCTATTGAATTTTAGAATTTGAAAAATAATGAAAATATATTTTTATTTATAATATATAATATATATATGAAAAAGTCTTATATTAGTGGTAAACAGATGCATAATCTTCTTATATTGCTTGAATATTAATTGTTATTCAAAATATAAAATTTATAATTTTTATAATAATATCAAGTTGATATATAGTAGTAATCAAGCTCACAAAGTATATAGGATTTGGATACCAATTGTTGGATTCTCGTGAACCCACAAACAACACTTTGGATCCCTCTTCCTAGACAATCTTCAACTCTTCGGTTAGTTTTTGAGTTGAGTCAAATTTAATATTTATTTTTAACTCGTAAAAAAAGCAACCCTATGCACCCTACTCCTGTAGGCCATATCAATGGTCTTCTTCTTCACCCCATTTAAGCTTTTCAAATTCTTTTTTTTTTTACTCTTTATAAATGAAATTGAATCTGTTAATATGATTTGCAACAAGAAAAAAAATGAAATATCGAAATGATAAAAGTAATTTTTGTCCATCTTATTTCCAGTCAATCAACAAACATTTTCAATCATTTATTTAAAATGATATCAGAACATTCAATATAATTCATTTGAATCCTCTTGATTTCTCTTCATCGTCAATTTTGAAATAATTTATCAACGTCGATTTATTTTTCATAAAAAAATTCAACAATCACTCCATTAATTAATCGTGCTTCATAATTTATTTCACTATTTACATTAGACTTGATTTCAATAGCTTGTAGTTTATTACAAGAAAAAAAAGTCATTTCAAAGAAATAGAAAATGACAAGTAACTATGGACGAAGAAGAAGAAGATAATGAGTAGGTGGATGGATTCGAGGAGCGGGTGGGGGGAGATTTTCTTTTTGTTATCGCCGGAAAATCAAATTTTTTTTTTTGTTGAAATCAGGATAGCCGGTGAAGGGAAGAAGAAGAAAAGTGAGGGGGGGGGGGGGGAGATGGGGTTCCCCCCCTTTCCTTTTTGCTAATTAATTCTTTGGATTATTAATGGTTGGAGTTTTTATCTTTTTAAAAAAAAGTTAAATATTCATTAAATTGGATCTATGTGCCATATGTTGCAGTTTTATGGGTTGCTTTATAAAGATCGTATGTGTGCATTATATATATCTCATTTTAAAAGCTTATTATCATTTTGTGTTTAATAAGTATATATTTATTAATACTAAAATGTTTAATAAATACTAACCTTAATTAAAATATTTAAATAAATTATACAACTTTAGGAAGCTTAGTGACTTTTAAGCCTTAAAAGAACATCCAATACTTTGGAGGAATCTCCTTTGCATCACCCCTTGCATGCTTTCTTTTCTTATACATCCTTATCCTTTAGATATATTTTAATCCTTGTTGATATTGACAATTATTAGAAATAGCATGCAACACTAGTAAACAATTTTCACACTAAGATTCTTTACCTTCTTCATTAAGATAACTCCATCTTAATTTTTCTTATGTTACAATTTGTTCAAAATAAATCTTTTAATATGATTTTCACAATTCAAATCTTGCTAAATTAGTTTCTGATCAAGATTTGAGCTCCAAGTACAACAATCACAACAATGGAGATTAAGAAATTTTCTCCTCCTAATCCTAATTTGAATGAAACAATTCACAAAGAAAAGAAGAGAAGAGAAATTACTCAGTATCTTTTAATTTATGTGATATAATTTTACTTGACATGAAATTTAAGAAAAAATCAAAGAGTTTAAAATCTCTGATATAAAATAAATCATAAATATTTATATAGCTATAAATAATTTCATTATGAATAAATTGAGTATTTAAAAGTTAAATTACTAAATATAGAAATGTACGCTTTTTTTTAAATTAATTAAAAAAAACGACTCATATATTATGTTTTTTAAAATAAGCTAAATTGGACCATAAATTTTATTTTTTAAAACGAGAGTAGGGAAAAAAGAAAAGAAACAGAGAATTACGAAATGAAAAACTAAATTTTCATCAATATTATAAAAAATTTAAATAATTAATTAATTAAATTATTAAAATAATTCAAATAGTTAATCAAGAATTATTGAAATTTTTCGACCCATAACATGATAAATTAATGACACAAAAATCTCATAGAAGAATCCCCTCATCAAACAAGATGGTCCAACTTGGTAATTGATAGTCGACAAGATGTCGAATCTTCTAGAAGAAAAAGACGTTCCTTGCTAATTCCACATATGGTGACAAAAAATCCCATGTGGAGAAAGTAACTTCTCTTATTAAGTTGAGTATTTTTCATTCCAACTTATGGAATGATATAATTATATATCGTACGATAAATTTTTTTAGTATAATTTTATAAATAAAATTAAATTAGATTATTGAGCTCTTTAATTAGTTCTAAGATAGTGAAATTTTTCTAGGCCGATGAGTATATATGTCTGTGAACCAAGTTCGATAATGATAATATATAAGTAATTGCGAATTTGAATTTAGCTAAAAGATAAAAAATAAAATGAGTAAGCATTTGAAAATTATAAGATGATAAATAAAGGCAATAAAGAACAAAACTTGTTGAAAAATTGATTTCAGTATCTCAAAAAGATTCATTCTTTCATATCTTGTCGATTATTATTTGTGATATATTTTGATTACTATTGAAGTCCTTAATAGTCTTAATGACAATATTATTCTAAGTTCTTTTCCTTCTTTGGAGGGGGAGACATGCCATAGACAAATCTTATTCCTATTTGATAGGATGTTGGGTTTTCATCATTAGATTTAATCTCACAATTTTATATTAAAAAGACTTATCAAATTTTGAAAGATATATTTATATGGGACGAAATATTTTGAAGAATAATATTTTTTTTTTAGAATACTTCAAATTACGAGAATTCCCTATTATGTATTCATTATAAAAATATATTCCGTAAGATTTCCTATGCACAATACAATACGTTTTTAATCTTAAATTCTAACCGGCCTTGTCATGTTTCATTTAACGTTTATTCTTATTCTAATTTTGCTCCATTTAAAACTTCTTTTTATAATTTCTTGTGTTTTTTTCCTCTGCAAAAAAAAAATAATTTATTTCATTCTTGTTTCTTCAAATTTATTTTATTTTGATTCACAACTATCTAAAATCTAAAGTATTTCTTTAAGAAAAGATTATCTTTTCTTGTGGCATCATTTTCATATTAGGTTTTCAAAGCAAATTTCTCTCCTTAGCAAACTTTATACAATTTATAATTTTAAAGGATAAGTTTAATAATAAAAATTTTGAAATTGAATACAATCTATCAAAGTTAAAAAATTTAGGTCATAACACCTATCTAAAACTTATTTTTAAAATTATTTTATCTGATAACATCATTTTCATATTAGGTTTTGAAAATAACTCTCTATTAAAAGAAATTTATACATTTAAAATTTCACCGTCATCTATGAAATCCACACAAGGTGACAAAAAAGAAGTATGTGGAAGGTAACACCAATATTAATGGAGTATAAACTTGATAATTAAGTTCATGATATTCAATATTTGGTGGACCCTAAAGTTTTCTAAATTAGTGCCAGGGTGAAGCTAAGTGGAATGAACATTTTATATTATACAAAAAGTTAAAAATATTTATTTTTATATAAATAAATAAATAAATAGATGTTGAATTTTCTTAATATTAAAAAAAAAAATTGATTTATTAGCCAAGGACCTATTTCCCCACACCCCCCAAGAATCCAATTTTTTGCCCTACCTAAATCATATACGTATATTTATAATTTAAATTTCTTTAGCTTTAATTAATTTTATCCAATCACAAAATATATATATATATATATTTTCTTAAACTTCGTATTCAATATAACATGATATCATCATATACATGGCGTCATGACTTAGGTAAGATTGAGATGTCATACTTGATCAAATATTGGCCCACACTTTTAATAAAGTTCAAAATTACTTTTAATAATTTTATCCATTATAATAGGCTACTTTAATAATATATAAATATAGGTTGTTTATATATGTGCCATTTGGATTTCGAAATTGCGACTTCTTTTTGATAGTATATGTCAAATATATTATAAATTATAATAAGTAATAATTTAAAATATTTTAAAACATCTCAGTTGACTATGAAATCTAACACTGAAAATCACATAATTAAATTGGAATAGAGAAAGTAAATCTTAAATTTTTAAATGATATGATCTTGTGAATTTTCTTTTATACTTTGTTTGGACCATTTTTATTCATTGTTTTATAATATATTGTATTGTATTGTACTTTATTGTACTGTATTGTATGGTAGATATAATGTTTGGCTAGATTGTATTGTTTCTTGTTCTTTAATGATATTTTAGTTGTTTGGTTTGATTGTATCGTACTGTATTGTAATTTATAGATTTACTAAAATATTCTTAATTATTCTAGGGTATGAAGTTTGACTGGATTTAAATAATTAAGGTAAAGGGTAAAATAGTATTTTGAAATATTATGTAAAGATATAATTGGGAAAAAAAAGTAACAATGGGAACACACCAAATTGGTTGTTCGATAAAATAGGGGTTTTCGTTGTTACGTAACAATGAAATTTAATAATACAGTACAATACATCTTGAGTAACAATCAAAATAAGCATTGTAGATACAGTAAGAATACAATACAATACAATCGATAACAATGATCTAAACATACTGTTATAGAAAAACCTCGATCAAAATGTATAGTTTTTGACCAACTAAACTTAAATCTCGAACATATTATTTGATTACATATTATATTCTTAATTGACTACGTCTGAATCTCAAACAATTTGGAAACGATTACATGATTATATGATCAGGAGTGGAGTGAATTTTACAAAACCTAGTAATATTAATCCAAACTTTATATTTATCTTAACAAGTTCATTTAATATGTACAGATTATTTCATTTAGAACTAACTCAATATGATAATAATTTTGAACCTACAAATTAAACTTTAAATTCTAACTCCTCATTCGAACAACATGCATATGGAATCTGAATATTGTAAAGAGAAGGAAGGTATATTCTAGAGGACTATCTATCTAGTCTAGCTTTATAAATAGTCACACCCCAAAGTCTTAAAATAAACACTATTGACCTTCCTAGTCTTCTCTACTTTCTTCTTAGTCATTTAAACATTACCAAGAAGCATACCTAACACAAAAAAAAAACAAAGAAAAATATTAACATGACTCATCACCAACTTGATGATCATCAAATGGTTATGATCTCTCAATACCATCCTGGTATCAACACCCAACTAGCACTAGATCATCAAGGTTAGCATAATTTATTATACTGACATTATAAAGAATTTTAACAAAAAGAATGTAATCGATTATATCAACTTGTTTTATTGAGTTAAATGTTGTTGTAAGTCAATTGAACTCATTTTAACAGTAATAATGTTCAATTGAATATATTAGCTCGATTTACTTAGTTAATTATTGTTATCGTAGGTCAACCTAACCTGATACTATCACAAGATAACACAAACTCCTATCTTTTGAATGAAATTAACTTCTATGTGGTGCATAATTAATTTTACTCCACCAATTCATCTAAATGATAATTATAAATAACATGTAATTAGCCATAAGGGTAGCCTAGTGCATAAAACACCATACTTCAGTAGGGGTGAAAAGGTTGCACCCAAAGGGGTGTGATGTTAGCAACCTACTATAATGTAAGCATTACTGATTGTTTTTCACTGTTCGGACATGTGATTTATTTGAAATTTCTTCGAGGCTCCCCATCAAATAAAGAAACTTTATATCACTATTGTAACTTTTTAAATACATGCAACGCATATAAGTTAAATCCTTCAAGTATTAAAGCAAATTTAGGGTTTTCTTCAGGAGAGGTGAAACCATCGCGGAGAAGGAAGAAGAACAAAGGTGAAACGAGCAACAATGGAGTAGTGAGGAAGAGGAAGCTTAGTCAAGAACAAGTTAATCTTCTTGAACATAGTTTTGGGGACGCGCACAGACTAGATATGAAGACCAAGGCCAAGCTTGCTTCTGAGCTTGGCCTTGACCTTCAACAAGTCGCGGTGTGGTTCCAAAACAAGAGGGCTAGATGGAAGAACAAAAAACTCGAGGATGAATATTCTAAGTTGAAGTCTCAACATGAGATTACCATAATTGAGAAATGTCGTCTTGAAACTCAGGTGCATCTTTTTTAATTATCTTTTTAAGGGACATGAACATGCATTTTTTACCATCAATATATATAAGTTAAATATTCTAGCAAAAGGTATCAAGTGGAACTTTTATAACACTTATGAAGCACAAAATAAAATAAAATAAAATTACAATATATATATATATATATATATATATATATATATATATATATATTAATCATGTCCCCTCCTAAAGTAGTACACATCTAAAAAAAATTTAATGATATCAATAACTTAGAAAATTAAGTAGGTGACCGGTATATTATTAGTGTTAATGTGGGAATACCATTGTCAATACATATAAGTTAAATTAACGGTTAACAGAATAATATATATGAACATATGATATTTTAATTGTCTTGTTATGTGATTTCTTTATACTAATTAAATAAATCATTAATCTCGTTTATCATTTAGGTCAATCTTTTAAAATGTGTCAACCTTGGGTAATCATTCGAAACCTAATTAAATATGCAAGTTGACTAAATTTGATATTCCAAACCTGATGGAATCATCAAAACTCAAATTCCAATATATTTTTCGTATAGATTTTGAAGATGAAAGAGCAATTGAGTGAAGCAAAAAAGGAGATACAAAGGCTATTATTGGATACTAATTGTGCTAGGGTTTCAAGCAATAATAATAGCCCAATTACTACTTCTTCATCAATAATTTCAATGGAGCAGCCATATATCTTGGAGAATTTTGGAATGGAGGGGATATTAATGGATAACAATGTATATTTTGGTTGTTGATCAAAGCAGAGCAGTTCGATGCACAAAATGTTTCATATTAATATAATTCAGAAAAGGATCGTGTCTCAAGAGGTGTGATATGTGAACGAATTAAATATATGTATATATATGATAATATATATGATTAATTTTTAATTAGATAAGCTCCACCATGTATATAGTAAGATATTATAACCCACACACCTATGTATGTATACATAATTTCTTTTGCCTTTGCATAATTTATGCTTAGTATTGCTAGTGTATTAATGAGTTTATTTATTGGATTCTCACTTAACTTAATGATATATTTTGTTAAAGTTTTTTTTTGTTCTTTTTTATAAGTTGAGAAAGTTATTAAACTTGGGAATAATATTCTATTAAAGTTACTTTTGTTCTTTTTAGGATGACAATAAACCACCCAATTATTACTTAATTTTTTACTCAGAAAATACATGATATGTATTTAATCTCATGTTGCAAATAATTATTCTCAGTCCAAGACGAGTAACAAATAAAAATCATATTATAACAGACAAACATAATATTATTTGAAACAAACATAATGTTATGGAACAAATATATTATATTATTCAAAGTTGAATCACTTTGTTATCCTAATTTTTTTTTGAATTATTAATCACTTTTGAATCGTTGGCCCTAAAGTCTGAGTAATTTCGAATTAATAGCTAGATTTGTCTCGTCATAAATCTTGATAAATCATCAAATTATGTCCACACAACATCGCAAACAGTTGGAATTTGCCATAAAATTTCATGAGTAGGAATTTCATCAATATGTTTTTACTTTAAAATCGATCCAAATTTAACTTTAAATTGATTTCAATATAAATTTCGATAATATTAAACGATTAAATTCAAACTCAAACCTTAAAAAATAAACAATTCACTTTATCTTCTTTTAACAATTTTATTCTTTTTTTTTGTCACTTTCCTAAACTATGTGGAAGGGATAAGAATGTTGTGCTTGTGGACATAGAGAGAGTTTAGACTTCAGATAGAAAGTATAAATTTCAAAAGTAGACACTTTTTCATTCAATATTTTCTAATTTGGATATGAAAATTTGACTTTGATGACCCGACTAATTAAAATTAAAATGAATATGAAATAGGGATATTGCTGATTACACCTGATGAATCAGATACTCGTATTATAATAAAAAATTAATGGCCTGAAATCCCAACAAGAATATCCCTAGGTAACAAAATTCCAAGAATTATTTCCTATATGAAATTGCAAGAATAAAATCTCCAAGTAATTCTCTAGGTAAATCCCAAGAGATAATTCCTATGTAAATCAATTAAAAAAAATATTTATACCTTTCTTGTAGTGCAAAGAATTTTTTAAAGATCATATTATAAATCAAATATTGATTTCTTATTAAGGAAAGATATCCCATATAATTTTCTTGTGAAAGGTGGAAAAAGTAGAAGAAATGTAAATGTTGAAATCTCTATTAAATATATATAGAATTAATTATAAATTTTATTGCTAATTCATCGTTAAATTGCTTATATAAATAACATAAATATATATAATAATCCATCGCTAAATAGTTTATTAAAGCTCATATGATCCTTTTTCTTCTTTTATTTCACAAAGTGGCGGCAAATACAAGCCGAAGATCTTTTGAAAATAACATTTCTAGCTCCACAACCATGACGTATATGTTAAATTTCTACACTCTTTATCCTCGTGAGATTCCACATCAGAGAGGGACTACACGGGATATGTTATTGTTTTTCTACAAGAGTAGTAGATCATTTTGACGATAACTAGACATGTTACAATAATTTAAAATCGAGGTGGAAATTAGTCCAACCCATCCAACCCATCCATCTGACACCCAAGAAAGATTATGAAAGCTTATAACAGGAGAACTCTTGATTATGTAAGAGGGGGGAATGGATAATAAGACCAGTTCCCAGGCAACAAACATATCCAAAACAGTTAACTACACATATTTAGGGTCATGATATGCTTCAGCAAACCACATTGTCAATCAAACTTTTTAAGTTTTGATGGAGTAATTTGCATAAACTCCAAATTCACATGATCTATATCAAAGTTTAAAAGAACAATATGTTCAACCAGAATGCTAAAACAGAATCAAATTTGTTCCTAAGAAAGATTACTAACTTAGCACGCCACTCACTCGATCTGCATCATTGCTATCAGTCTGATGATCTTCTTGAACCAATTGAGGGATTGCCACTTTCTAAATCTGGTACCTGCCCAAAAGAAAAGAAGAAAAAATGAGACAATCAAGTATCACAAGAATAATATGACATATGGAACAGTAAGGATAGGAATAACCAAGAGTTGAATACATTGACAATGTATTTTTTTCAATAGCAGTCCAAGAACCAAAACAGATACATGAGAACCGTGGAAAATTTTATTTTTTCAAGTGAAGTCTTCATATTTGTCAATCTTTCTTCTCTTTTTATGGAGAGTTCAGGCCAACTTGCAGGTACCTCGTTTAACTTTATGATCTACTTGCGACCTCCCACCAACATAGACACCACGAGGTAAGTGTTTTTGGCCTCTCCTGAAATAAGAACTTATGACCTCATGGTTTTCAATCCACTTCATTGACCACTAGGTCACACCCTTGGGTGCAAGTTGGTTTTTCTTTTTAATTGAAATGCCTAGGAATACTCACAAGTTCACATCACCTTTTGATAAACGGCCGAGAAACCTGTCAGGGACCAACAACAGCATTTAAAACTAGGGGAGAATGGAACCAGCTCACTGCCATAAGTTCATATTATATCATAATAATAGGACCTAATAATTGTTCTGGTCCAAGAGTAAAAGAGATTAGAAGATTGCTGCGAAATAAAAAAGAACATCGAAATTTTGAGTGGCTGAAGCTAAAGAAGTTGAAGCAGCTACTTTCAAAGTAACAAAAAGAAAGCAATAACTGGAGTGGGAGAGCTCTTATTAAACAGAAAACTTTCTCACAGGAAAAATAAGAATGAGTGGGGCAGTGCCACAACATTTTTGGAGAGTCGGAACACAGGAAAACATGGTATAGTTGGGTAATATCTTAGGCTGCCAAAGAAAACATTTTCATGTGCCACAGAACACTCAAAATCTTTTATTCCATAAACCATGTATGTCTGAAGCAACTTCACAAATGAATCAGCCAAGAATTCCCTTTAGAGCTCAACAAACACCAGTAACAGACCAAAGAATAAAAAAAATACTCCAGTGTAAAGTCTCACGTAGGATGCAAATCAACAAATACAACAACAATAAGTAAATCACTGATTTTGAGTACAAATTAACTTTTTTTTTTCTCATCTATACTTGTCTACATTGACTAGACTCTTTGAGTTAAATTTTCAGAATGCCACAACAAATAGTTTATAGTTGATACCATTTACTAACTAGAGTTTCACTTTAACCGCATTAAACGAGGCTTTCATCTGCTTGGTGAAACATGACCATAGCACTTTTTCTTTTTTTAACTATAATATTTTCAAAGGCCGACCAGAATATGTGAGGATCTGTGGAAAAAAATACAATACAACTCACCGCTATTAAGGAACAAGATACAAGAACCCATTATAGTGGAACCAGGAACCTTCTTTTTTCAGATAACAAAGATGACAAAATTTTCACTTTCATGGTCACTGTGAGAAATATAGGAAAAGAATATTATTGAATTGTTGTTGTGTCTACATTATTACACGAGACCCTATTTATAGACCACAAAATACAATCCTTTATCAAGTAGGATACTACTTAGTATTCCTATTCCTATTCTAATAGGATTGTATAAACCTATTCCTATTCTAATAGGATTATATAAACCTATTCCTATTTCAATTGGATTATATAAAACTATTCCTATTCTAACACTCCCCCTCAAGCTAGTGCATACAATTCATGTACCTAGCTTGTAACAAATGTAATTAACACGAGGACAATGAGGGGCTTGGTGAGATATTCACAAGTTGATCAGACGACTTCACAAAATTGACAGTCAATCTCAATGTGTTTGTCTTCTCATTAAATACTGGACTTGATGCATAATGTCAGTCAGTAAAAACAAAGATAAAATTTCAATGTTGAACTTCCCAAACTATACATGCAAAGACTGCTTCAAACTATGAGTGACTCACATAATCGACATACAAGGCTACTAAACTCCTCCTGAGCAACAAAGTGCTCAAAACCTAGTGTAAAGTATATGAATCACGTTGGAATCAATAGATGAGTCGATATTTAACGTCACCGAAAAATTGGCTGAAACATGCTCATATGCCGGAGTATTAGGTTTGATGGCTAAAAGTGGTCACAATCTAAGAAATAAAATTATATAGGTAGGGTCAGAATGATGTCACTACCCAACTAGAAAATAGAAATTAAATAGGATAGTTCGAATTGATGGAATGACCCCATTGAAAAAGAGAAATAATATGGGTAGAGTCGAAATGATGGCACGACCCTAATGAAAAAGAGAAATTATATAGGTAGGATTGGAATGATGGCACAACCCTACACAAATCAGATTTTGAGGAGTCACCGAAAAGACGAACGGAACTATGCAAATCAAATCTGAGGAGTCACCGAAAAGACACACGGTGCTATGCAACTCAGATATGAAAAAATAGTTCGGAAAAAACCCATGGTAGTACGCATATTAAATACGAAAAGTAGTCCGGAGAGATGAACGGTGCTACGCAAATAAGATATGCAAAAAAAAAGATAAGTCACCAGAAGAATTGACATGGTGCTACACAAATTAAATATGAAAAAGTAGTCACTGGAATGATAGCACGTGTTACACAAATTAAATATGAAAAAGTAGTAACCGGTATTGGTGGCACGGTGCTACACAAAATAGATATAAGAAAGCAGTCGCCGGAATAATAGGACGGTGCTACAAAAATTAGATATGGGAAAATAGTCACTAGTAAGATACACAGTGACCCAACTTTTGCTAACATAATCCTTGGCTGGATGAGCGGCATATGAGTAATAGCCGCCCGCCGACAGCGGAAGCTCTTTGATTGTTTACCAAGATCGTAGAGGTTCTGATACCATGTGAGAAATATAGGAAAAGAATATTATTGAATTGTTGTTGTGACTACATTATTACATGAGACCCTATTTATAGACCATAGAATACAATCCTTTATCAAGTAGGATACTATTTAGTATTCTTATTCCTATTCTAATTGAATTGTATAAACATATTCCTATTCTAATAGGATTGTATAAACCTATTCCTATTCTAATAGGATGTATAAACCTATTCATATTTCAATAGGATTATATAAATGAATTCTATGCTAACAATCACTACAGTAAACAGGATCCTATTAAAGAAAGTCTCAAATATGTTTCTCCTATAATCTCTTGTTTACTGGTGCCCTTTTCCAGTCTCATGACAAGATCAGCATAGTTATTAAATTTTGCAAGTCAATGTTACTGCTAAAGTAAAAGAAGTTTTGTCCTTTGATTAGTAACGTAGACCCGAGATCAAACAACAATCTTAGCAAGGGTTATGCCTAAAGTTATTGAAGGATTCAGCTACAATAAAGCACTCTTTATTACTGTCTTGAGGCGCGACACATCCACTTAAACCATTGCTTCTAAAGAGAAACAATTTTTTTGAGAAGGTAACATTCTTGTTTTATATTCTAAAACTCAAACCCGCCACAACTTGTTACAGGTTTACTAATTACAATTAAAGGTTAGTATCAGGAAGATCTTCAATCCTAAATAGCAAAAAATTTACAATTCTAAAGCATTCATTACTGATTCTAGATCTTCCATATACTCCTGTTTACACCAAAAATTAAATAAAACCAAGCAATTCATCATCTTCTGGATATTGTTATTTTTGTTCTGGAAGCATCTGAGGTTCCTCTCTTTCCACACAGACCACCAGATGCATGTGGGAATGATCTTCCATCTTTCTTTATGACCAGAAATTAGGCAAAGGCACAAAGCTACTCCATATCTTCAGGGCCTGAACAATATTTCTTGGCATCACCCAAAGTAGGCCCTTCAAATTGATGAAATGCTCCATAAAATATTAGTGATCCTACAGTTAAGAAAGAGGTGATTGACTGTTTCAGCCTCTTCTCCACACGGGACGCAGTTGGATACCCCTTTTCATGAGGTTTTCCTGTTCAAAATAGCCTGCATTGCTGGTAGCCAAGTGAAGCAGGACACTTTAGGAGGTACTTAAACTTTCTAGATGAGTTTCCATGGCACAGCCAGTAGCCTGATAGGAGAAAGGGTTGAACTTTTTGTAAGCTTCCTTCACACTGAAATTTCCCTAGCAGTTATGATTCCAAATCATTCCGTATTGGGAGGTAGAGGTTCCTTTGAATTGCTCATGGATTCAAGAAACAATTTTCAATTCCATTTATTTCGAGTGTTGAAGACACTAACTCTACAACCAAATAAATGTTCACGCAAAAAGTTGTTTCATGGAAATAAGCCAAAAGAAAAAGGACGAAACACATCTCCAAGCAAACATGGTGTAACAATGTCCCTTAAGTATCCCATGTATGTTTTCAATATTTATGAAAGAAAGTGAATTGAGAAGCACTTGTGAGACATGTATAAAGTGGAATCTTGCAATTCATTAGTTACATGATCGTCAGTCACCTGATATCTATAGTTTTTGCAGCCTTCATTCTGACTGTATCCTTGGCAATCTTTTTTTTGTGTGTAAAATGGGACAAACAAGGTTATCAATGTAGACTTCAGTCTCACTACAGGAATGAAAGTTGGTAATTTCTGCATATTTGATTGTGTCATCCTTTGGATTGTATATTATTGAATTTGATCCAAACACAAGCAACCTTTATTCTCTTGCAATACATCTGACAATGAAAAGTGATGTCTATAAAGCTTTAAGTGGTTTCCTTGAAATACTGACCGGCCGAAGAGCCATGGACGAGAGAAGATCAAGGAGTGAACATAACATAGTGGCATGAGGAAAATCATATCTTGCAAATAGGCATCATTTTTGTCAGATTATCGATCCTCGTCTCGGAGGCAAATTCTCAAAGAAAGGAGCATTTAGGTCTACTGAGATTGTTGTTGCTGCCTTAAATAAAATGCAAAGTCCAGACCTCAAATGAGTTAAGTTCTGGAAATATTGATGCTTCTGCCTTCAATGAGTTAGCCTCCAGTCCTAGAGTTTAAATTAAAGATGTTGGTGTCAACTCATAAAATTTGGGATTAAATCTATCCTATATTTGGTTGAGGGTATTCCCTAATACCATGATAAATCCTGGATAACCTGACTTTGACACCTTAACTCCATACTCCTTCATAACCCACAAACTTAATTTAAAATTTGACACCAACATCTTTAATTTAAACGCTAGGAGCGCGGCCAACTTAATTCATTGAAGGTAGACGCATCAGCATTTCCAGAACTTAACTCATTTGAAGTCTGGATTTTGCATTTATTCTAAGGCAGAAAAACAACAATCTCAGTTGACCTAAATGCTCTTTTCTATGAGAAGTGACCTCCGAGATGAGGATCTACACTCTGACAAAATGATGCCTATCTGCAAGATATGGTTTTTCTCATGCCACAAAGTTATGTTCATTCCTTGATCTTCTCTCGTCCGTGGCTCTTTGGCCGGTCAGTATTTCAAGGAAAACCACCCAAAGCTTAATAGACATCAATTTTCATTGTCAGATGTCTTGCAAGAGAAAAATAAAGGTTGCTTGTGTTTGGATTAATTTCAAGGAAAACCACCCTGTCACCCTTCTTATTCATCATAGCCATGGAAGGCTTGAGTGACTTGATTCAGACAGCAAAGGTGAAAAAGGGTTGGCTAAGGGGCTTCCAGGTGGAACACAGAGCACTAAATGGCTTGGAGATCACTCATCTGCAATACACAGATGATACTCTTATTTTTTGTGAAGCAGTGAGAGAGAAAATGTTAATTCTAAGAGTTATATTCATCATCTTTGAAGCAGTCTCTGGATTACACATCAACTGGGGTAAGAGCTTCATTTATCCCATAATTTAGGTGGCTGAGGCAGATAGTTTGGCAGAAGTCTTGGGTCATAGAGTAGGGGAGCTACCAACTATATACCTAGGCATGCCACTGGGGTCAAAGAGCAATCCTGGAATAAGATCATATGTTCAATCAAGGGCAATAAAACCAATCCATGCAATCATGACTGCCTCAACCTGTCCAAGTTTGGGCAAGTCAATATTGAACTCAACCCATTTTGACCCGCTCATTTCAGTCCTTTTAATAGCTAGGTTGATATATAGCCTAAAATTCACCCATGAAAAATCTTATCAAAATATATTAAAGACGTTTTTTTTGTTAAACATGTTATATATTTCCATAATGAAGGAAACATTTGATACTTCAACAAATTATTTTTAAAAAAAAACTAATAAGCATTGGACAGATTGTGTTATGACCCATTTGTTAAGCCCATTTCGGCCCAAGTAACTTTGGATGGGTCATTGCCCTGCCTATTTTCTAAGTCATCCTATTTTAATCTGCTCAAATTCAGCCCAACTTGTCTATTTGATACCCCTTAGCTCAAGCATAAAGATTCACCAATCTACAAAGATTGAGATTGTGGTTGTTGCAATCAAGGAAGCCTAGTTTATTTAGTGGCTAATGATATTATAGAAGTGCAGCTGAAAATAGATTCCTTGGTGCTTAAAAACATCTTGGAACACATATGTGATATTCCATAGAACATTGTATCTGTTGTTGAGGAAATCGTGATATGCTTTAGAATACCACATTGCCAATCAAACTTTTCGAGTTTCATGGAGTTATCTGCATAATTATTCCAAATTTACATCATCAAAATATAAAAGTTTGAAAGAGTTCTCTAACCAGAATACTCAGCAAAATCATAGTTGATCCTAGAAATGATAACTAGCACTCACTCGATCTGCATTGTTACTATCATCTGATGATCTTCTTGACCCAATTAGTGAGGGACCGTCACTTCCTAAATCTGGTACCTGCCAAAAAAGAAAAGAAAAGAATGAGACAATCAACAATTGTCACAAGAATAATATATGACACATGGACAACTAAAAGAAAAATCAAATAGTCTCATAGACATTTTCTTCTCTTTTCTGATAATTGCATTCCAAGAACCGTAGAAGAAGTACTAGACTACAAGTAAACCATGGAAAATTATTTATTTCAAGTAAACCCTTCCTATTTGCCAATAATTCTTTCTTTTTCTTGATTACCATGAAGTTCAACCCAAGTTGAGCGCAGCTCAACTAGTTTCAAAATTTACATGCTACCTCCCACAAGCATAGGCACCACCAGGTAAGTGGCTTGCCTCCTCTGAAATTTGAACCTAAGCCTCATGGTTGTCAATCCACTTCATTAACCACTTGACCACACCCTTGAGCACGTGAAAGTCTTTCTTTTGAAATGAAAATGCCTGGGAAAACCAACAATAACATATTTTTTGTTTTTCAAATCAAGTTTTAACTTCAATCTGTATCATAAGTTCAGATCATTCTGATCAAGAAATCCATCTGTGGCCAATTCTTGGGACCAACCACATACTTGGAAACCTAGAGATTAAGGATCACCTCTCTACCATAATTTCATATCATAATAGGACCTTTCATTTTTATTTTTATTTTGTTTTATCTTTGCAATGATAGGACCTAATACTTATTCCGGTCCTATAGTACAACAGCTAGAATCTAGGCGGTTGTTACTGCTCATATGTTGCTCGTAATATATAGATATTTGTGCTTAATTTGGCCTCGAATCAAATTTAATGCAAGGGCTGAACTTGAACGATGTGAATAAAGAGGAGAAGAGAAAATTATGCATCCTACAAAGCATGTTAATATCAAAATGAGCCCAAGATTCTTTAACCTCGTACTCGTTCATAATCCACACATCTATGCAAGTGCTAGGGCGTAATCAGAAAGTCCAAAAAGATCATTTACAAACACTCCTATCCACAAACTAAAATGTCTTTCTACACAAGAAGATCACCCAACCTTTCCCCATTTCTCATCATCCATATCAACAGAAATGATATCCCAAGGCTCCAAACTATTATACCATTGAAGACCATTAGTATCACTTATTTTCTTTAACGAGAAAAGGGTTAAAATGGAGGTTTTGGCTAAAAATCTTAACTATATTCCAAACTTAGACAACACCCTTTCACTGTCACAACGAACAAAAAACATCCCTCACTTACCCTAAAAATGGCATTTTCACTTATCCTCAATTTGATTTTCTCTGAGACTTAATAGGTTGGTATTGTAGTATGTTAGGTTCTTGTTTACTACGTGCTTAAATGTTTACATTTATGAATTTCTCTCATATAGGGAAAACTCTGCCGAACTTTTAGCGTGAAAATAGTTAAGTTTTCCTGGTAGACTTACTGAGCACTGGACATAGACTAGGTGTAAAGGGCAGCCCACTGTATTAAAGCTCCCACTATACACAGGGTCCAAGAAGGGCCAGATGTGTGTCGTCATAAAAAGGGTCTTGATAAAGTCATGGCCAAAACTTGGATGTCCATATTCAACGCCCCTACAGGTGTGATAGGGAAGTTAAAAAGGTTGAAAAGAAATTTCACTTAGTTTGTTGGTAAGCCATGACATCTACTAAATAATGGAGCTGCTAAGGGTTAAGGACTTGTAGGTCTTCGACAAAGCACTCCTGGGTAAATGGTTGTGGAGATTTGCGATGGAGGGAGGAACCTTATAGATAAGGATGATAGCAGATAAATATGGAGAGATGGGAGGGGGATGAACAACAAATGTGATCACAATGCCTTCCGGGTTAAGTGTGTGGAGGAATATCATGAAGGGTGGGATGTTTTTAATGATAACATTGCCTTCAAAGTTCGGGAAGAGAATATGGTAAGTTTTTGAGGGAAAAAGGGCGTGCAAGTTTGGTGCTCAAGGATGAATTTTCGTTATTGTATAGAGCCTCCTGCCACTGGAAATTGTCTGTTCAGCAAGTTAGGATGCACGGGGACGGGGACGAGGACTGTATGGAATTTGAGCTTTAGGAGGACTTTCTGCGATTGGGAAGTGACCGAGTTTCAGAGATAGCTAGGTTTACTTAAAAAGCAACGTGAGCCAGTCAACAGACCCAATGCTTTGAGTTTAGAGTTGGGGAATGAAAAATAGGGCAGAGGATAGTTTTCCCTTTGTCTCGATCTGGATACCCAAGGTGCTGAGTCCCAAGGAAGGTGTTAGCTACTAGAGGAGTGATTCTAACAGCGGAGAATCTTAGGAAAAGAAAGGTTGTTTGCTTGAGGTGGTGTTTCCTTTGTAAGGAGCAGGTGAGGAGGTGGACCATATTCTGTTACATTGCAATTAAGCCACGACTTTATGGGAATATATCTTTAAATGGTTTGGAGTTTCTTGGGTTATGCCAAGAACCATTAAGGAGTTGCTTCTCGGCTGGAAGAGTGGAGTTAGGAGAAGAAGGCAAAAAGCTTGAAATACTACTCCTTTTGCTTTGATATGAGTCATTTGGAAAGAGAGATATAGGAGAACCATTTTCATTTGGAGCACCCATGTAGTTCATGTCCGTATAGAGGAGTGAGTGTCTTTTGGAGAACCATATTTTGAACGTTTCTCCACTTTTTGATTTATCACACTCACTTGTATACGGCCAAGTTGTCCTTGTTATTATCAATGAAAGCTTTTACCTTTGATCAAAATAATATTTTTGATACCATTAACAAACTAGAGTTTCAATTTAATCGCATTAAACAGGTTGGTCTACTAGGCTACATATGACAATTGCACCTTGTTCCTTTTGAACTATTAATATTCTCAAAGATCAATCAGAATATGTGTGGATTCTATAAAATACAACTTAGATACAAGTCATTACTATTAAGGAACAAGATTAAATAACTGCCTCTCACGAGATTAAAATCCCTATCGATACACCAGGAAGGAGAAGGTGGGAAGGAAGCATCTATGATTTAGTCTTCAAACAAAAGACCTCATTACTGTTTGACTTGGAACCTTCTAGTTTCAGATAAGAAAGATGAAAGATCCTTCACTTTCATGTGCTCTACTGTAGAGGGACCTATTACAGAAAGTTCCATACTCAAATATATTTCTCCTATAATATCCTGCGTTTACTGGTACTCCTTTCCCAGTCTCATGATCAGATCAGCATATTTTCTCGATCACTTTCTCATTCGAACCAGTTTTGCAAGTCAATGTTACTGCTAAACTGAAAGAAGTTTTGGCCAATGATTGGTCAAATAACTAAAGTGATGAAAAACAGGGATGATTTATAGATAGTAAGCTATAGAAACAAGGAAAACAACAAAAGTAAGATACTACATCAGACATCAGACATCAGCTCTCATTCTTAATTGGTCTAGAGGCACGACACATCCACTTAAAACACTGCATCCAAAGAGAAACGATTTCCAAGGCCATTTATTTTGAGTGTTGACGATACCAAACTCTACAACTAGACAAATGTTCACGCAAAAAGTTGTTTAATGGAAATACGCCAAAAGGAAAAGGACATGGAAGATCTCGAAGCAGATATGGTGCCATAAATATGCAATGTATTTTTGTATATTTTACAAAAGAAACAGAATTGAGAAGCACTTGTGAGAAATGCTTGACGTGGAATCTTAAATTCATTACTTACATAATCGTCATTCATCTGAGTCTTTGCAGCCTCCATTCTTACTGTATCCTCGGCTGTTTGTTTTTTTGGGTGTGAAATGGGACAAACAAGGCTTTCAATGTAGAAAGCACTCTTCATACAGGAACCAAAGTTAGTAATCTCTGCATATTTTATTGTGTCATCCTTTGTATTGTATATGGCCGAAGTTGATCCAAACACAACCAGAATTTCACCTTTATTTGACATGCAAAACGGAGTGGTAACCACATATTTTCCAGGGATGGGACGTTTGATGGTATACATTTTTGCCCAAGACTCTTTAACCCCATACTTCTTCATAACCCATAAATTTACGTGAGAATGAGAATTACAGAGTATAGAAAGATAATTACCCAATACTCCTAGCCTCAAACCAAAATCCTCTCCTACACAAGAAGGTTGCTCTACCTTTTCCCAATTCTCATCAGCCATATCAACAGAAATGATGCCCCTAGTCCCCATACCATTGTTCAAATTAAGACCACTAATAGTAGCCCAATAAAGCTTCCCATTTACAAATGTACCTGATTGAAGAAGTTGCAACCCACCTGGAAAATCATCCTTACTTCTCCAAGAATCACTGCTTAGACTATATATGTTGACCTGGGTGTCCTCCAAAAGCCCATTTTTATACCTACCAAATATACCTAAAACCTTATAATCATCATGGCACTCATCAAATCCAAAACCATATGTGAAAATGTTGGTATTCTTCAACCTAGGTCTAGAAGCAGGCAATTTCTTGTACTTACTAATTGTTGGGTTCCACAGAATTAACTCGTATGCCCCATCGGTAAGGCAAATCAACCCATTGGCTGAACCCACAATGTTGAAAGATTTGTAGGGATATTCCAAGTCAGATGCCTCAACAACAGATCCACAAAGTAAAGACCTAATCGAACAAACCTTAAAATTGGAGCAACTTCTCCACATGAGCTTATGGTGGTTGTAGTCCTCGTTTTTTGCTGATAAACTAAGATGGGTCTTGATAAAATCTTGACTAGAGATTAGAGCAAGCCAAGATTTTGAAACACACTTAAATTGAAGGAGGGATTTCACTGGTAACCTTAAGAGAATTTCAGTTATGAGTTCCGGTAGAAGGGTGGGAATCGCCAAGCTAGAAGCATCTTGCATTGAAGTTACTGAAAATTGTGAATGGCTTGTGGGTTTGATCCGATTTGAGGGTTGATGGGAGGCTTCATCTCCCTTGGATTCCATTTGAGGGTGGAAAATTTTGCAATCTTTGAAATTTGATTTTGCTATGTAAAAGGTTAGTACAAGGTTTTGGGTATTTGTGACTTGTGAGTTTTATGGTCGATTACCTAATTCATCATTCCTTTTAGAGAAAAATTCTCTCAATAGTTCTTTTGTGTTTTCTTTTGTACTCCCTCTGTCCTATATTACTTTTCCAATTTCGTGATGAACCCAAAAGCCATAAAGATTTGGTAAGGCCTGGTTGAGTTTCATGACAAAAAAACTACTATAGATCTTCAAAATTGGAGATGGTGAAGGGAGAGATAATGATGAACTATGATGAAGAGGAAAGAGAGGTTGGCGGCGGTGAAAGAGGATGGAATTGAATATCTAGGGTTCTATAATGTGTAGCGATATTCTCTTAGAAGTGCAAATTAAGTAATAAAAAGAATATTACTATTTTATTAAAATGCTTTATTTTGGTTGCTAATCAAGTTAAATATTCATTGTTCTTTCCGCTCTTCCTTTTTCTTATCTTTGTAATAGGACATGAAATAGATTCACACTGTATATCGCTCTTCTCACAAAAGTTTTCCTAATTAATGGGGCCTTGAGCTTGTCTCGGCTCAATGTTCTCATTTTGTGGTTAAAACTTTCGGTCCATTCATTTGTTTCACCAAACCAATAGTTCAACCTATCTACGTTTACCGCTTGTACTACATCACTATTTTAAAAATAATTAGCTACAGACCAATTTTGTAGTTGTACAACAAATGCATTGTAGATCAGCGACGGATTATCAAAAGTTTATTTTAGCTACGAGAAATTTAATGACGGATTAGTAACAAACTTCTTAGCGAATTTCAACTTTCTTTTGTAGTGGTTTAGAAACCTTGCTCTATTCTATTCTTCTTGGTGTGGAAGTCATAACAGGAGTTCTTCCTCATTGAGTCGCTCAGAACCTTTTCTTGTAAAACCAATTATCTTCAAATAAATATTTTTCTATATATAGATGAGAGGGACTTCTGTTAAATAAATTATGAAAGGTCAATTTACTTCGATAATGAGGTTTACTTTAAAAAAATAAATAAGAGTGATTATTGTCATGTAATATAACTTCACATAGGGGTGTAAGGTGTTAAAGGAAAATCAGAAAATTGCACCAAATCAAACGAAGTCGACTTGAAAAAATTGATTTCCATTTGATTTAGTATTTCAATTTAAAATTGCGGTAACATTTGACTTATTGTAGTGTTGCATTGGATGAAGCGGTCATGGAAGTGAGGCTTGTCATACAGAGTATTCCCAAAAGAGAAAGTTTTAAGTATTTTGGATGCGCAATCCAGGATAGTGGGGACATCAACCATGATGTCACACAATGCATTGGCGCGGCATGGATGAAATGGAGGCTTGCCTCTAGAGTCTTGTATGTTAATGAAGGTACCACATAAACTTATTAGTAATCTCTACAAAGTGGTGGTTAGACCGCCCTTGTTTTTGGGTGGAGTGTTAGTCATCCAAGAATTCACATGTACAGAAGATGCATTTGGGGGAGATGCACTTTGGGGAGATTGAAGATGTAGAGACGGCTATATGGGCATACTAGAAATGACACAATTAGGAATGAGGTTATTTGGGAGAATGTCGGAGTAGCCTTTATGCCAGACAAGATGAAGAAAGTGAGACTGAAATGGTTTGGGCATGTGAGAGAAGGTGTGCTAAATCCCCTAGTGAGGAGGTGCGAGAGGTTGGGTGTTGGGGTTTACGGAGGGGTAGAGGTAGGCCAAAAAAGAATTGAGAGTAGGTGATACCAAAGACAACACTAGATTGGAAGGAACAGAGGTCGCGTATCAGGGTAGAAGGTTAGTAGGCTTGGTTAGGGTTGTTCAAAATCGAACCCAAACCGATAATCCGAACTGAAAAAAAAAGTTATTAGTTTATCAATAATGAGCTTCGTGGTTTTGATAACAGTTTTAATATTTTTTCCTTATCGGGTTATCGGTTCTTAACAATTTGAGGTTTTTTCTTATCGGGTCAACCGATAACCCGATAATAATTAAATAATTATATTTATACTATTTTGTATATAAAATCCTTGACTTAGAGTTTGGTTTCTATTTTTATTTTTTATTGTCTCAAACTCTTGGTTATTTTACAATTTAAAAGTGTTTGCTTTTGAACAAGACGTAACTTATGAACTCATGTGCATGGTTCATTTTGTTTGTCACCTTGTTTCTAAGTGATTTTCAATGATTATTTTTATGTCAAATCTTAACGATTAAACTGATAACCGAATTAATAACAATCAATAACCGATAAACCAATTACCGATAAGTCAATATATTAATAGTTCTATAACGATTTAACATCTCTACAAACCAATAACCAATAAGTCAAACCTATAAACTTCAAAACTGAACCAATCGATACGCATCTCTAGGCTTGGTAGTGACTAGTGCCTATCACAGTATTACTCGTACCCTTGTAGTTATGGTCATATGTGGTTTATTATGTTGCGATTATCACACTATTTTGTTTTGTTATGGTTCTTTTCCTTCTTTTAGTTGGGTTTGATGTACTAAAGTTAAGCGTCTTCCGGAAACAACCTCTCTACCTCCACGATAGTGGTGAGGTATGCGCACACTCTACCCTCCCCAGACCCCACCTAGTAGGATTTCACTAGGTATGTTGTTGTTGTTGTTGTAAGATTTGACTTATTTTGGTTTTAAATGAATAAATATCAAAAAATAATAGAACCAAACCTACATGTCGAGAGAATACACAATAAAAGGTGCATGAGAGTACATAATGCATAGAGATGAAATAGAAGGAGATCTATAAGTTCATTATGGAGAAGGATTTTCCTATTAATATCTCATAATGCATGTGGAGGGCATGGAAGTTCAATTTACCTATTGATGATGTGGAAAAAAACCATAGCACACTTACTTCTAACATCACACTTATTGCTTCAGGAGTACTGCCTGCAAGCATTTCAAATATGAGAGTTGAAGGATTCATACTAACAATTCATTCTGCTTAGTTAGTACATTTTTCAGTTTTTTTTTAAATCTTAGCATCATGTTATTCCATTGTTTTCCATGTTATAATTAAGGATGGAAGTAGCCTATTTACTTTTGGCCAGTTCTTATTTCATCCATGATGTAAGTGATAGCTTTGATTTTGAATGATAAAATTAGTCACTAGACACTCAGCCTAATGGTATATTAGCTTCATGAAATAGCAAAATATTACTGTATAGAACCTTCATCAAATATAAAAAGGTTTCAAACATTTGTTCAACAAGAATATCCAAATAAAATCATCTTTATTTCGAACAATGACTATTAATTGGCACTCACTTGATCTTCATTGTTATGATAGTCTGATGATCTTCTTGACCCAATAGGTGAAGGAGTGACACTTCCTACATCTGGCACCTGCCATTAAGAGAAAAGAAAACAAAACGAGACAATCAATAAGTACCATACCACAAGAAGAATATATGACACATCCACAACTAAAAACAGTAGTAAAACAGCCAGAATAAGTATAAAGAAAAGTTAAAATAGTCTAATTGACATTATCTTCTTCTACTTCAATTGTGGTCCAAGAACCATAGCAGAAATACAAGTGAACCATGGAAAATTTTATTTATCTCAAGTGAACCTTTCCTATTTGCCAATCTTTCTTTCATTTCTTTAAAACCATGGAGTCCAGCCAGCTTGTGCGCACCTCAACTAATTTCACTGTTTATGGTTACATCCCACCGGCACAAGCACCAGCAGGCAAGTGGCTTTTTCCTTGGTAGGATTTGAACCTAATACCTTATAGTTCTCAATCCATTTCATTGACCTCTAGACCACACCCTTGAGTGCATCTGAAAGTGCCTAGGAAAATCAGCAATAACCTATTTTTTTTTGTTTTTTAGATGATGCAGATCATGTTTAAGCCTCAACATACATCATAAGTTCATATCATTATCTTGTAATGATCAAGAAATCCGTCTATGGTCAATCCTTGGGACCAACCACATACTTCGAAACTTGGAGATCAAGGATTAGCTTCTCTACCATAAAAGTTCATATCATAATAGGACCTAATACCTGTTCCGATCCTAGAGTAGAACAACTAAAAGCTAGAATGTAGCTGATGTTCATATGATGCATTTAACGGATAGATATTTGTGCTTAATATGGTCTTGGAATCAAAATTTAATTTTTCTAGCAAGGAGATCTCTAATGCAAGGGCTGAACTTGTACAATGCAGTAAAGAGAATGAAAAGAATTATTTATCTTACAGACCCTATTAAAATCTCATTCTTCATGTGGAGATAGGTTCAGAAGATATCCGGTTATCTTAACTTCAACAAACAAGTCACAAGTCACAATTCAACAATCAACATTGACCATTCACAAAAACATTATTTTACAAAAATAGTTAGAATCCAACATCAAAGCAATGTCCAATCATTTTGACTACATGACTTGATAACCACGTGCAATGCATAAGCCGAGAGACTAGTTTGTGTATATATACAACCTTATAATCATCACTTAACTCACCAAATCCAAAACCACTTACGAAACGTGGTATTCTTCAACCTAGGTCTAGAATAAGGCAATTTCTTTTACTTATAATGGTTGGGGTTCGATAAAACAATTCTTTTGCCCCATCGGCAAGACGAATCAATCCATTGAATAACCCACAATCTCTAAAGATTTGTTAATAACAGACCCACAAAGTAAATACCTAACAGAACAACGCAAAAGATTGTTCTTTTAACAACTCAACATAAGCTTATGGTGGCTATAGTCCGCGTTTTTACCTAATAAGCTAAGATGGTACTTAATAAATTGTTGACTACAGATTAAAGCAAGACAAAATTTTGAAAACACACCTGAGCTGCAGCAAGGATTTCACCAGTAATTCTTCAAGATTCTTGCACTGAAGTTGATAAAAATTGAGAATGGTTTGTGGGTTTCATCCATTTTGGGCGTTGATTCGCTTTCTTTTTTGGATTCCATAGGACAAAAATTGCACTCTTTGATGATGATGTTGCCATGAAAAGGTTAGTGAGTAAGGTTTTGTTTATTTGTGAACTATCCTGTTTGGAGGTTGATGAGAGGTTTTTAAAAAAAAAAAAAAAAAAACTTATTAATGTATTGTAATTTTAACAAAAATAAAAATATTAGTATTTAATGTATTTGAGCTACATATCGTGTATTCGATTTGATTTTTTAATTTTTAAGAAATTAATTTAATTAGAAACTTATTAGGAATAGATTGTAATTCATATTAAAACGGTGAAATTTATGTAATTTACACATATTATTTTGAAAATAATTTTTCTGAGTTACTCGTTTGAAAAGAAAAATTTATGGATTATATGATGAAAATGCAAATAGAAAACAGATTGTTTTGAATTAATATATTATTTTTCATTAGTAGTAGAAGATTTTCACTATTTGAATCATCGCAGTTTCATTTTAGCAGCTTATTCTCTTTCAAGGTCACTTTTACCTTATTTTAAATATCTTCATTTATAATTTTATTTCTCTTAGTATGTCGACATATCTATCACAAAATTCTCGTTTTGCCACCTTCATCTTTTTAACGTGAGAGTTTTTGAATTTGATAACACTCCGCTTCATATAACACGATTGAATCACCATTTTATATCTATATTTAAGTTTTTGTGACACATTTTTATCACACGAGACTTTAGATGCAGGCCACTATTTCATTCAGTTGCACCGATACGGTAAGTGACATTTTCATTTACTTTAATAATCTCCAATATATTTGAGGCCTCTTTTCTAATGATAGACATGTATATCAACTTTCACTTTCATGTCAACCTCATATATTATGTCACTGAATTTTCAATTCATATCCAAGTTCCATTCAACCTCAACCATTTAGACGACTTTAGGATGTCTCCAAACCTCTAGAGTTAGCTCCATCACAAATATTATCATTCACAAGTAAAATACACCATAACACCACATTTTGAATGTTGCATCTATGAATTCTGGTCCCATCACAATTGAAAAGTGCTATAAGTTTTTTTTAATATTGTTATTCGACTCCATCATACATGTTTCTTATCACCTTAGTATATGTCCTTTGTATATCTTTTAACCTTGAAGCATCTCCGTATAACCTTCATAGGAGCTTTGTCATAAGCCTTTTGAGGAGATTCTATGAAGTTGTTTGAAAGCTAGAGATATACATATGACATATACTTGGACAATAAAAAACATGTACATAAAGCTAAAATTTGAATAGTGTCAAGACACTCAAAAGTAAGGTAGTTAAATTTTAATATCATAACAATCAAAATCGAAATAAAACAAAAGAGAAAAGACATGAAAAGACCATCGAAGTTGTCCCATATTTGCATAAAGACACCTAAACTTTTGAAGTATCCCATCATCCCACTAAACAACTATATATCGTTGTAAATTAGCCATTTTTACCCATTAACTCATCTGGGTTGTTTACACGCACGTTAGGCGCGTCATGGGTCATTTTTCCTTTTTATTTACCAGTTTAAAACAGCCACATGTCATTTTTTTTTCTTTAATATTAATTGTTTAATCAATTTTTGTATCTTCCCCAATTTAAACTCAAAAATAGCCTTTGGTAGCCCTAAAATTTTGATTTCCATGGCAAGAACAATATTGATTCTCTCTTTTTGACGACTTCATCATCTTCCTCAAGAAAATAAGGTAGGAATTCGTCTTTTCTCTTTTAATTTTCAGTATAAACGTTAATTTGAAGTTTTTTTATGGTTGAATTTCTTCTCAATTTTGTGGTTAGTTTTTGATTGAAAATGTCAAATGCAATGTTGAATCGTATTTGTAACAATGGCAACTGTAGGAGGTCGATTCTAACACTTCTACACTATAATAATCCATAAAATCAGAATAATCGAAAAAAGTGAAGATTTTAGAACCCTAACATGTTAGACCTTCAATCTCCAAGAATCTTCACAAATACACATCAACAACGATCAACAACGAGATTGTCAACAACAACACTTTGTATTTCGTTTGATTTTTTAGGAAAAAGTTGAGAAATGAAATGAAAAGGAGTTCATGAATTTTCTTTTAAAAAAAAGGTCGGGTCGGGTTACCTAGAGAGTGAGCAACACGCGCATTACATAGATGATGGAATGAGTAAAAATGGTCAAATTACAACGATATATAGTTGTTTAGTGGTGTTATAGGACACTTTAAAAGTTTAGATGTCTTTATGCAAATATGGGACAACTTCGATGGTCTCTTTATGTCTTTTCTCAAAACAAAACTCTATTTTTTCAAAACTTAAATTTGAGATTCTAAAAATATATTAATTGAAAAAGAAAAAAAAAACTTGAAGTAGATATAATGCCACAACATCATCATCCAAATTTTCTCAAAACATTTGGCGCTTTGCTTTTCCTCTTCCCTGTATCTCTGCACTACAGCCTCTTGTTCTCCTCCAATTCCAAATCCTACCGAAAATGGTGAAAACAGTAGCAGCCATGCGAGGAGCTGGAGGAACCCTTTTCTGTTCTCAGAGTTTCGCTGTCTTCAATAACACTCAAATTCATGCCCAAATTCGACCTTCATTACCTCTTACATTGCCACCACTTGTGCACAAATTGACCACTTTCAGTAATCAAGATTCAATTTTGGCGAAAACCCAGTATCGTCTTCGACTTAAGGTTGTTACTAAAGCTGCTGATTCGTCTCAGCCTACCTCTGCTATAACTTCATCCGGCAACGCTATTGTTCCCGATGAAGAGTTTTCACTTGCTAAGGTACTTATCTTTTGATTTAGTTGACTCATTTGGAGAAGGATTATGGGGTCATTTGCATATTCGCCCAAATAGCTTTTTTTTTTTTTCTGTTGTTGG